TTAAATAAAAACGGTTTTTTATTTATTGTTTTACAAAGATATGTTTATGCATTTTATAAATGTACAAAATTATTTATTAAAAATGTTCCAATTTATGTAAAAAATATTATATTGTCAAAACGCGGCCAGAGATAACTCACAGAGGATTCAAAATTGAATTTGTCATTTGGCTAAATCTGGAAAAAAATCTCTAAATTAAGCCAAAAGTAACATTTTCTTTGTCTTTTTCAAGTGTCTGTGCACGTTTTTTGCCAAGGTTAATCCGAAACATTGCGAAAATTTGTGAATTTGTTTTATCTCCGACTAACCATTTCGTATTATTTTAGAATTTTTGAAAAAATTCAATTTTTGGYACCATACCGTTTTAAAATACATTAAAAAAAAAATTCGAGATAAATTACAAGTGTTTTTACAAAAAAAAACTTATTTTTAGAATCTTTTAAGAATACCGCATTTATTTAATTCCTCGGCAATAAACAATTCCGGATTTTGTTTTATTTTTTTTAAGTCAAATTATTTTCAGGTACGTTTTTAGTACTTTCAAAGGTCAAAAAGTAGATGTTTTGCATTTTCAAGTTTAGTTTCTGTCAAAACCCAAAAAAAAATATTTCTATTTCTACCTGCATTATTAGTCTCTGGTGCAATTATTCTTACAGCTTWGTCTGGTCTTATCCGACCAGCCCTTGGCCGGTGGAAGAAAGTTTTGACAACAGATAAAGTTTCTAATTTTTTTAACATTAATTGTAACATTTAAGAAAAAAAATATTAGTATGGTAATCTCAAAAGTATAACAATTAATTAAAATAAAAAATATTTTGGCATCGCTCCTTTACAACATTTATTAATTTATTTCCAAAAAAACTGGTAGTTTACTCAAAAAATTCTTTAATTCTTGTAAGTCACACATTTTTTTAACAAAAAAGTGGGAGGTTTACAAAAATTTTTTGCACAGAAACAATTCCTGTTACAAGCTCGTTGTCTAAAAAAAAATTGTGCCAGGTTTCCATTAAAAAAAAAATTGTTGCTATGTTTATCTCGTAAGTATAAACAATTAATTAATGTTCAAAAATTTTTTTAAATAGCATTTTTATAGTCTTTGCACACCTATAAATTTATTTGCCAAAAAAATTGATAGTTTATCAGAATAAAATCGTTTCCAGACTTTTGGACCAACCCTGTATGAATGAATGCTGCCTTGCACTGTTAGCTCAATGTATTCATTTCCCCGCAACATAATTTCTAAATAAATGCCACATAAAATTGCAAGGATTATGTGTTGTTTTCTTCGTTTTCGATTTAAATTGCCATGATTTATTTAAAGTTGACACAAATAAAATAATATTTTTCTCCTTTGGGTATTCAGTGGTGATTTATCGGCTTATTACTCGTAATAGCAAGGAAATACGTCTTGGCGCAAGCCATTTGAAGGTGATTCATAATTCTTGTGCGTATGTATGATTAAATAACATAAATTGTAGGGAATTACAATATAAGCAATATTGCATTACAATCTGAACCATGAGGGTCGGGGTGTAGAAATTATTACAGTTAGGGGTGGGAACGAACGGTTATTTTATCGAGTAGGGACCGATTTTTTTCCGAATAGGGAACTGTAATTATGTTACAGCGTAGGGGAAGGTAATTGCTTTTTAAAGCGCGCCCTGTCCGTAAAAAAAGGAAAATTAGATATTATTTTAACACCGAAAAATTAAGTTCTAATTAAATTTCGTATGAAATTCGCCTCGACGGACACCTACAAAGCAATTAACTCGTCACACGAGGAATTATTACCGTAATTCGAACTAATCCTTCCTTGGAACGTTGTGTAAATTCCAATAAAAAAGAKGAAAGGAGTAAAATGAATTAGAGGCGCTGAGCAAAATCTCTCGAGATCCCACTTGTTACGCCAATGAAACTGAAATCTTGAAGCAAAGTATAAACTTGCGGGAAGGAAAACGAGAGGCGGCTCCTTTTAATTGTTCATTATATGGTTCCTAAGTTACTTTTAATGAAGATTAATTCACTATTTGATTAAGATCATCTAAGAGCTTATAGCTTTCTCATGCTACGAGAATATATCGACTCGACTGATACCATCGCCAAGGTCTGTTTGTAATTGAAATCGGGGATAATTGCCTTTTAATAGATATATTACAATTTTTATGAATTATGAATACATTTTAATCGAAATATTAGACAAAATCAATCCTTAGATGCCCATTGTTGTGTTTTGATAGAATAGAAAGCCCAATAACAATTTTTATGGATCAAAGTGGACGAATTTTTATGGATATTACTTAACAATGACAAATTTTGATACAKATTTTCATCCCCTGTTTAARCCCCTTGGAAATGGATTTTTCTAATATCCTGAAACACGTGTTTTTTGGTTTTTAACTGCAAGTCCAAATACCAATGTTCATAAAATTAACTTAACTAAAAATACGAATATTTTACGAAATTTTACCATTGTTCAACCCCGTTGGGGGTGGAATTTCCAAAAATTCTGAAACACGTTTTTGTTAATTTTTAACCGAATCCCGAAATACCAATTTTCAAGAATTTAACTTTAAAAATGACAAATTTTAATATAAACTGTTATCCCTGTTTAACTCCCTTGGAGGTGGAATTTTCAAAAATCCTAAAACACCTGTTTCTTCATTTTTAATCGAAAGTCTAAATCCAAATTTTTATAAATATAACTTCAAGAATAACGGATTTATAAATAGTTATACAAATTTTTTCATCCCCTCTTTGACCTCTTTGATGAAATTTTCCAAAATCCTGAAACACGTGTTTTTTTGTTTTCAACTGAAAGCCCAATTACCATTCACCCTTGTTCAACCCTCTTGGGGTGGAATTTCGAAAAATCCTAAAATACGTATTTTTTTCTTTTTAACCGAAAGGCTAAAYGCCAATTTTTATGGATATAACTTTAAACCTTCAAATTCATCTCTCCATTTAACCCTTTTAGAGGTTGATTTTCCAAAAATCCTTTCTTAGTGGATGCCTACATTATAAAAGGTATCTACTGTGAAATTTTCAAAATTTTATCACCAGCGGTTTAGGCTGTGGTATACAGGGTGATAAAAAAAGGCGCCCACGATTGAAACAGGCGCGTCCTTTTTTATTGAAACATTGTGACCATCATTCCAAAAATAGTCTAAATAGATTCTTTTTTAAAATTTAAACAGCATAAAGTGGCAATATTGCACAAATTTCTTTTACTAAAAAACTATTTCGCTCAGGTATTTTTCGTATCTTGGAAACCTTTTTGACTTTAATCGTTCAAATTTCACAGAACAAACAACATTGAAAATTGATTTTTTTGTTGCTACCGTTTCCAATAATTGAATATTACTTGGACATTTTCTGTATCCTAGGATATTTGCAATGTTGCAACATTGATAAATTTTCTTTGGAACCAAGAAATAGTATCCAATAAAGTTTATTTCAATAGACTTTTTACATTTTTTTTTAAGAACACCGTCAACAGTATCAAAATCTAGACTTTAACAATGAAATTATTTTAAAACTGATAATTATATAGATTTCTCTTTTCTTAAAAGGAAAATCTATATCTTACTGATAAGAGCACAAATCCAATTTTGGTCTTCGAATTCGTCTTTAATAAAAGATCACTTATAACGTGTGGGTTAACACGGGCGCCTTTTTTATACTGTATAGATTGATAAGGGAACATAGTTTGAATCATTAGATACTTATTGGTCTCACAACAGTAAATTTTGGAATTGGAAGTTCTTTKAAAATTCTGCATTATCGTTGYGCCACCTGTGGCGATGGCAAGTTGAACCGCCTCTGAGTTGTTGTTTGGTCTCGAAGTTGGCGTCAGASTCMAAATCTCTGCCTCTAAAATATAAGTTTGTAGGTAAACCATCTTACGACTGTTATTATGTTGGTAAGTGGAGCTACAAATTATATAGCCTTGAACTGTACGTAAATAACCCAAGTCGGTTCGTTTGCGAAACGTTCAACCCCTTTTTCGAAGTAAAGCATTGATGATGAACCTCTGTATATTCGTTGCTAATTTCACAGCGTACGAAGAAGTAATTTGATTATGCATTGCCGGGGATAAATCCGGTAGGAAAAAGTCTGGTCGGATGAATTTTTCCGATTTATATCTTTGGTTTTGTACAGCATAAATCATACTCACGTTCAAAAATAGACGATACAAAACATGAGGTTGATATACCAATTATCCGAGAGAAAATAATATTGCAGCAATCAGTTGGTGTTATTATTGAGAGTTATATTGGTATTATTTTCTTCGGGACCACGTTATTTTTAATTTGCTCGCAACGAAACCGTATAAACAAGCCATGGTAACTTTATGGCTAGATTTACGATTATGGACATAACAATGTATATCGTTAACAATAATTTCAGCAAGAATTTTGATTTATTTATTTTTTATTATTCGGCTAGTGATAGTTAAAATTGAAGGATTATTATGTTGCAGGTGGGCGGCCAATTCAGCGAGAATATTCTTGGATAGATTCTTGTGATAAACAGTGAGCGCTTCTGAAGGCGCTATTACCGTCAAACTGGCAGCCAGTGCACTAGCCGCTATGAACCCTCACTACCACCCTTACGGAGGCTCGGAACTGACGTCTCCGCATCCTCCGTCGCCAGATAACAACAATTATCACAGTCATCAAGGACCTGGAGGACCTCAAATACGCATGCATCAATCAAACGGACACGGAATAGGTCCACTAGGTAAGATAGAGCCTTTTCTCTGGGTAACATCTRGGTACAAACAGAYATTTATYATCAAAAACGAACCATGACAATTTTTGTGGAAAATTTGTGAGTTTAGAGTAGTGAACTTGAAGAAATGTTAGGGAAGAGTGCATTGTATTGAAGGATGTTTTTTTCTGAATTGAAGGGGTGAGTGGATAAAGGTGTTATGTAACATTTTTTTGAAAACTGGTATTTTCTTTTAAAACAATTTTTATCGCAATATTCTTTTATTGAAAAAGACGTTCAAGTGTTGGTGTCTATTAAGAATGAAATTACCAAATGCTAAAGGCGTTATGAACAACTTGGATTGTTGACTAAACAGTGGATAAATGTGTTAAAGTTTTTTTAAATAAATAAATAAATAACTATTTTTACTAAATTCAATTACTTTTCGATGTACTTTTGACAAAATTTTGCGAAATAGTTGCGTTTTTTTATTGAAAAATGTTTTAAAACGCTCGAAAAGAGTATAAATTATGTCGTTTTTTATTCAGTCTGGTATATGTATTAATGTTTTGGTATGTTTTTTAGCAAAAATTAAAGAAAAAACTTTGTTTTAGACTTAAAAACACAACTAAATGTTTGAAAAAAGCAAAAATAACATCATTTTCAAATTAGTTATATGATTTTTCGGCTTATTGATTGTGCTTTTGATTGAAAAATCTGCTAAAACGTTTGGAAAAGCAACCAGATGATTTTTTGACTCAAAAACATGCTTAAACTCTTCAAAGAAGCAAAAATAACTTTAGTTTCGTGATAGTTTGTTCATTGTTTACCTCATTTTTGACGAAAATTTTCAAAATAATTGCGATTGTGACTAAAAAACGTCCTAAAACGGAAAAATGGTATTTTTGAACAATTTTTTTAGCACAATCTTAAAAAGTAAAAATAACACCATTTTTGAGTAAATTTCGCGATTTGTGACGAAATGATTTTGTAATTTTTTAATCGAAAAACGTGCTAGAACGCCCAAAAAATTATAATAAA